CACACACACACACACACACACACACACACAGTGCCCTACACTGACTATCAGAGTCTGCCTGTTTCCCCTGGAAGCCTCCCTCCCATTGGTCAGAGGGGGCAGAAACATGGGGCATAGGATGGGGCAGTCACTGGACTGACCCGGTGACTCAGCCCAGTGACCATTCACAAACGGAAGGGCAAATGGAAGCCAGGAGGAGGCCAGGGGACGCATCCGGCAAGCACCCTCACCTAAATATAAAGATGCCCAAATGTGTCCTCAATCTCCACATTTCTGTGCTGGATTCTTTTAGACAAGATTGCCTAATCTACTCTTCATTCAGTCATGGTCCACCTTTATCACCTCTGCCTTCTTCATCTTCCTTATATCTGATATTTTTTTAGTATTTTTATTTTAATCAACCCACATTTTATTTAAATAGAGTTACTTCTTTAAAAACTTTATGTCACAGTTATAAAGAGAAAAATCAGTTTTACTTGTCGTGTAAAAATGCAGTAACCATAAAAATAAATATGAAAACCAGTGTGATCACATTCCAGCTAACTCTGAAGCTGAGCCCTGCTCTGTTACGGAGGTTAGCAGGTGCCAAGAGTGGCTGTGAAAGACCTATGAGCCCCAAACTGAGAGCTTCCCTCTACCTAGTCAGAGGCATTGGGGATGAATTCACCCTTATAGCAACAAACACCAGGCACAGTTCTCATGACAACCCCAAAAGGCAGGTGTCAATCTTACCCCTTGAAAAATGTGGAAACCGAGACATGGATAGATTAAGTAACTTGCCCAATGTCATTTACCTAGTAAATGGTGACATCTGGGTGTGACCCTAAGCAGCATCCCTTTCTCCGATGTTTATATATATAATTGATTTCAGAGAGGAAGGAAGAGGGAGAGAGAGAGATAGAAACATCAATGATGAGAGAGAATCATTGATCGGCTGCCTCCTGCACACCCCCCCTTTGGAGATCAAGCCCACAACCTGGGCATGTGCCCTTGGCCAGAATTGAACCCAGGACCCTTCAGTCCACAGGCCAATGCTCTATCCACTGAGCAAAACCGGCTAGGGCTCCGATGTTATTAATGTTGTGCATCCATCACCTCAAATCCCCACCCTTTAGCAACCACTGATCAAGACCAGCCATAATTAGAAAGGGGAGGTGCCAGCCCAAGTTCACACACTTAGAGTCAGGATGCGTATTCACTACATGGTGACCTCGATAAAAACACATCCTGCTCTCAAGGTCAATCTGCCTTATTAATGGTTGCCTTCAACAAGTATTTCTTTTACAACTCACTCACCCTTTCACTTTCCAGGTGAATTCTGCTGGTTGCCCTGATTCTTGTTCAAATAACAGAGCCCTTCTTAAAAGGAATGGGCACCTTTCAGATACGTGAACATCTAGCACTTGATTCTCAGTTTTACCACCTTCACACTTTGGCCTGTAACACATGATTCTTGGAGGGAAGGAGAGGAAAGAACAAAAAAGATATCCCACCCAGGCCCCTGCAATTCTTTCAGGAAAATCATGAGGGAGGCAGAAAAAAAAAACACAAAAAACAGACACTTATCCCCCCACCCCCACCCCCTCAGCTTGAAACCTGATTAAAGGGGTGGCAGCAATTCCAACGATTTTAGAATTATTGACTGACTGACAAGGTGCCTTCAGTAATTGCTAAAGCTGGGGTTGGAGACCTAATAAACTCGTGTTTGAATTAGTTAATAGTTCAATTCCGAGAGGTTATGATTGTAAATCCCAGGACTGCCAGCTTGGCTCTAATTTGCAGCTCCGGACTATCTGTGAGGTTGCCATTTACAGTCAATTTCCTCAGAGAGAGAGCAAGAGAGAAGAAAATGAAAAGAGAGAATATTTGAATGTCAAGTGGGTGCTTTTAATGGCCTAGATTAGCCCCAAGAGAATCACAGTGAAGTTGAAGGTACACAGGCTGAGACCACACGTCTCTCCCTTTGAGTGGCACATTTGTTCTTTAGAATCTAGTGGGTCGTGATGATGGGAAACGTATGAGCTGATCCCCCCTCCCAACCCAACTCCCTGCTTCACCCCTTGAGTCCCTGCCCCACCCCCTGCTTGTCTCTGCCTCTCCTGACTTAAAACTTGTTTGACCCTCTCAATTGATGTTCCTAAAGCCACCATGATCTTATCCCTGTTTTAAGGACAGACCAGAACCAGTTTCTGGCATAGCCCCTGCCTGTGCAAATGGGGCCCCAAGAAAGACTTGTTTATATAGATGCTGCATATCTAGCTTGGCTACCTGCTTAACTACTTATACATGGAGCCAGGTCTTTGATGAGGCTATAGGCAGAACACTCCCTGCCCGGACCATGATTACAAAATGTGTGCAAAAGTGGGCTAAAATAAGAACAAAGCCAACAGAAAGGGAGGATGTGGGTCATTTACTGCATTGATGGCAGCCTGTCCCTCAGAGCATAGCCAGGAGAATGTCAGCTTCCTGTTTGGCAAGCAGAACATGGGTCCCAGTTTATAAAAGTGGGGTCCTAAGTTTGGATGGAAACACTACAGAGCCCTCTACCTACTGCCTTATCTATATATAAATAAAGAGCTAATATGCTAATGGTCGTGACACCCTCATGCTGTAACGACCATTGAGCAGGAGGCTGCGTGCGTGGTGGGGCGGAGCCACCGCATTGCTCCAGAGATGGGGCAGAAGCAGGGAGGTGCCTGGAGGAGGCAGGATCATCCCGTGGCAGGGAGGGCGGGGGTGAGAGCCCCTAGCACCCCCCTCACCAGTCCTTCAGAAGTGGAGAGGTACCTGGAGGAGGCAGGACCAGCCCGAGGTGACTCGAGGGACCAAGGGCAGGGCTTGAAACAGCCAGAGAAGGCCGGAGGGGTCAGGGGTGGGGCCAGGCACACTTGAGCTCTGGGTGGAGAGGTTAAGGTGTCAAGGCGGGGTGGCGGGTGCGCATGGGCGGGCACATGCCGGTGGGTGGGCGCCATGCAATTTTTTCGCGCTGGCTCACTAGTCTATCTATACTAATAAAAGGGTAATATGCTAATTCGACCGGGAGACCTTCCAGATGTCCTTCCGGACAAAGCCATGGTTGTGGGGCCAAGGCAGAGGCAGTTAAGGGTGATCAGGCCAGGAGGGGAGGGCAGTTGGGGGTGATCAGGCTGGTGGGGGAGGCAGTTGGGGGGAGCAGGTTGGCAGTGGGGGGCTGTTGGGGGCGATCAGGCCAGCAGGGGGGGCAGTTGGGGGTGAGAAGGCCAGCGGGAGGGGCAGTTGGGGGCAAGCAGGCCAGCAGGCAGAGTGACTAGGGGCGATCAGGCAGGCAGGCAGGTGAGCGGTTAGGAGCCAGTGGTCCTGAATTGCAAGAGGGATGTCTGACTGCCAGTTTAGGCCCGATCCCCCCAAGGGGTCCCAGATTGGAGAGGGTGCAGGCCGGGCTGAGGGACACTCCTCCCCCCACCCCTGTGCACGAATTTTGTGCATCAGGCCACTAGTATATATATATATATATAAAAGGCTAATATGCAAAGTGTCCGTCCGACGGGTAGCTATAATGCGCCCTGACCACCAGGGGGTAGACGCTCAACACAGGAGCTGCCAAGCTGCAGTGACTTGGCAGCAGTGGTTCTTGGTTGATGCACCCCGAAACCAGAGAGGAGGGAGCCTGATTCTTTGCAGGATCATGTGATTCCACCTTTAGCTGTGGGTTATGTTGTTGCTGGGGCACTGTTGGCCCCGAATCTGGTTTACTGCACACTTGTGTTTGCATTCCACACCCTGTATGACAGCAACTTTCCAGAGTGCCCTATCGCACTCCAGGACCCCTCGGGGGATGTCAGAGAGCTGGTTTCAGCCCAATCCCCACAGGCCAGGCCGAGGGACCCCACCTGCCTGAGGGACTCCGCTCATTCTGCTGATGCCCAGGTATGGCCAGCCAGGGAGGGACCGCAGGAGGTTGGCTCCAGGGCATGTCCAACCCATCTCACCCAGTCCCGCCCCGCCAGTCACCTTCTAATTAATTTCCTATCAGTGTGCACGAATCCGTGCATGAGGTCACTAGTCCTTTAATAAACTCCTATTCTCCTAACCAAGGCAGAGTGGAGTTTTCTGGCTCTCTCCTAAGCTAGAATGCTAAAGGCTTTGGGGAGGTGAGAAAGCAAGATTCCAGGACTGTATTCATGCACTCACCTTTTGCTCTAAAAGTAGATCAGTATTAGTAAGAGAAAGATGCTCATCTTGTAGACCTTTCACTCTGGGATGGCCTGAAAAGCCAGTCCTGGGCCCAGAGACAAGTCTTCTGAGAAGCTAATTCTGCCCCCTCAGAGGCCAAGTGGGAGGCAGAGGCAATGGCTTTGTAAAATTTGTTCAATGGACAAACAAGGTCAATGGCTTTGTAAAATTTGCAACAGTAAAACATTTTTGTATTCTTTTCCTTAAAGAAGGCTCCCAAGATCATATAAACTTCAAGCCCTATAAAATTATATTCCACCCCTGCCCAGATCTGGGAACATGCCCACTGCCTCTGCCTCCTTTGGCAGAACAGGAAGCTAAGTGGCTGGCATACTGGCCACAGAAACCAGAGGGTAGAGGAGGGAAGTGTGGGACCCAGAGGACAGAGCCAGGGGGGAGGAGAAAGGAGCCAGGAAGGAAGAACATCGTGAAGAGCTCACCCTTCGCCCCCCAACCCCCAACCCCGAACAGGGCCAAAGGACTGGTGAGCAGGAAGGCAGAGAACAGGTTCCCAAGTTCCTTTGGACTCAGAGTGTAGTCAAAGCAACACAGTGTAGAAGAACCAGAGTGCCTTGGGTGCCCCTCAATTCGGGCTCAACCTCTTACTGGCTGGATGATCTTGGGCAAGTTACGTGACTTCTCTGTGTCACAGTCTCCTCATTGGTCAAGTAATCAGAGTAGCTACCTCATTGAATTGTGAGGATTGAAGGAGCATATGCATGTAAAATGCTTAGAACAGTGTGTGGCGTATAGAAAATGCTAGACGGCGACAGTAACTTCCCTGCGCTTTTATTTTACAATCAAGGTCTTGCAAATCCTGATTATGCAGAGATGCTAACAATCTGCCCTCCAAAAGGAGGAACAGGTAAGGATTATCCTACCTGACTGATATATACCTTCCTGCTCTTTTAAACAGGAAGGATAGCTAAGAATTCTGAAGGTAAGGCCAAGGCCACTGTACATTTTGGCACTTCCATCACCTTCAAATGACAACATTACCTTCTTAAAAACATCCAGAGACCAGCTCCCCTTCTACACCAGCAGTAGAGACCTATCCATCTTACATCATCATCTCCACTTCCTCTAACACAATCTGCCCCTTCGGATGGGGGTCCCTACTCTCTGCCATCATTAAGCCATGTTCCTCTCAGCCTCAAACCTTTGCCTTCCCCTCTACATCTGCCCCCCACAGGAATGCCTTTTACCCAACTCTCTAAATCTAAATCTCTGAATTCCTATAACACTTAGGTATTTTCTGCTCTTTCATTCTTCCCCGTAATGATTGCCCTCTGGCTCAGTAAATAAAGAAAACATCGCTATATATTCCATGCTAATTATCATCTGAGCTTCTGTCAAAGAATGAGAACATAAAAAGGAACAGGCACTGTGGTGGTGGTTGCACATATCCATTCATTCATTCATTCATTCATTCATTCATTCAAATAGCACTTATTGGGTGGCTGCCACATGCTCACATTCTGAAGAAGGCCCAATGTTATAGAACAGTGAGCATCAGTACCACCTAGAGAACTTGTTAAAACACAAATCCCCAAGTCTGGGGTTGGCCCCATGAATTTGCACCTCTAACAAGATCCCAGATGATTCAGATGCTGTTGGTACAAGACAGCATTTTGAGTAGCATGCCGCAGAAGGCAACCCTCACTCAGTGACTGGTGTGTGATGGCTCATAACTCACAGTCATCTCCCAAGCACTATTCACTCACGCATGCATGCATCCCTGCCTTCATCAGAGCCTCTGCACATGGTCTTTCCTCTGCAATACTCTTCAACCCTCCCCTGCAACCCTTCCCTCCCTCCATCCTTCCTTTGTCCTCATGAAAAAGTCTCCCCACCCCAACACACATATACACACATGATAGTCTCTATTTCTGCCTCCTATTTGTCTCTTTCATAGAACGTTCAGAATTTGTATTGGCATTAGTTTATTTTCTCTCCCACTAGAATAGAAACTCTATGACAGCAGGAACAATATCTATTTTAATCTTCTGTGAATCCCCAGTACCTGGAACATAATTGGTGCTCTGCAAATATGTTGATCCACTAACTCATTCCTTTGACAAATATTTCATGAGCACTAACTCTGCACCAAGCACTGTTCTAAATGTTGTGGATACAACAGTGGACAAAGTTAGCCAAAACCCCTATTCTTGGAGTATTCACTTCATGTAAGGAGACTGTCAATAGTCAATGAGCATAATAACTAACTATTAATAAGCAATAAGGTGTTAAGTGCTATAGAAAATAGAGCAGACTGAGGGTTTAGCAGGAACAATCAGAGGCGGGGCTGAGACTTCAGAATTTGAGGGATTAGAGCGAGTTTACCATGTGGTATCTTTGGAAAGAGCTTTCCAGCCAGTGCAAGTCCCAAAAGCAGAGCTGTCCAGTAGAACTTTCCATGGGATGGACATGTTCTATGTGTGCACTGCCAATGCGATAGTCACTAACCATGTGTGGCTGGTGGGATCGGAACTGGCAGCACAGCCCTAAAGAGTGAACATGTGGAGTGCAGGTGCAATGGAGCGGGTGGGGGCAAGTAGGAGTAGGTGAGCTCAGAACAGTGAGGCGAGATCAGGTAGGACCTTGCCAGTCAGCACTAGGACTCCAGCTTTTATTCTGAGTGAGAGGGGAGCCATGAGAGGAGAGCAGTGATCTGATATAACTTATGTTTTAAAAGATTCCTCTGGCTGCTGTGTTGAGAATAAACGGTGGGGAGACAAGTGGGGAGGCTGCTGGAGGCAGGCAGGTCAGAGATGGAGGCGGATCAGAGCAGGATAGTGGTGGGAAAGAAGGTGCTAAATGTCAGGGTCTAGATATATTTTGAAGATGGAGCACAAAGGATTTTCTGACAGGGGCTGATTAAAACATATATTAAACTCCTAATAGATGCCAGGCACTAGCTATGAACTTCATCTAAGCCAGATTTGCCAAAGAAATGTCACCCAGGCTTTGACTGGTACCAGCTTTCCCTAAGACAGATAGCACTGCGGGGCATTTCTCACTTTCAGTGGCCCACAATTCGATCTTCGAACATCGCCTCTTCGGATCAGAGCCGATAGAGCCTGCTGGCACCGTGAAATGTGTTGTGATTATTCACCCAGCATCACTCCATGGTATGTACATTAAGAAAATAGATGACTCAAGTCCTACATAAATCCTTCATTTTCCTGTTTTATTCCCCTGTCCATCACTTCCTCATTTATTCTTAATATTCAGGTTTTGCATTCAAGGCCAGGTCAGATCTCTGGAGGACTTCCATCTTCCCCCTCTCGCATCTGCCCGGTCCTCCTCCAGAGACTCCTTGGCCTGAGGACGGGAAATTGAGTCATTCGTCTTCTATAACCATATGGATAAGATGTAGTCATTTACTGTTGTCAGCATTGTTGTGCTTCAGAAGCTAATTAAGACAATTAGCTATTAAATGGCAAAAACAATTAAGTTCATTGAAGTAAACCATGTGCAGTTTACACCCGTGCATAGACAAAAATTAACATGTGGCTAGATGGTGGCGCTACAGATGGTCCAGTGCCAAAACAAATCAGGGAACATGGGGGCCGAAGACAGAGGTGTCTTGGCACCCAATCAGTTTCTACCATAAAATGTTTCTCAAAACATTTGGCTTGATTTGGGGAGGTTTATTCTATATTGAAAAAAAAAGTATATTCCTGACCAAATGTTTCTTTCAGGCTATAAAACGGCAGAATCATGCCGTTCTCCTGCCTCTGACTCAACTCCACAGCTGCCCGCAGCATCCAACAGAGAGAAGACACCTTGCTCAGGGGACCTCTGAAGATCATCTGTAAGTTAACCAGATCAGCAGGCAGAAAGGGGTTTCCCATGGGTGTAGGTTGTGGCTGGCAATTTTAGATCACATATATAAATTCCAAATAGAAGGGCAAAGGATTGAGAGCCAAGAGGAGGAAGAGCAGCCATGGAGACCACGGGAGGCTCTATAAGGAATGTGTGTTTATCTGGAATTTGTTTTAGCTGCATGTGCCAAAAAACTCAGCTAGAATTTGCTTAAGCCAAAAATGGAATTTAGCTAGGAAGGACAAGCTGTGGGGAACAGGGCCTCAGGGGTTCCCAGGGACTTAGACCAAATAAGACTCATATCCGTCTTTCGCTCTCATCTCTGCCCAGCTCTGTGTTGACCTCACTCTGGCTGCAGAGAGGCCCTTCCTTTGTGGCAGGGAGCATGGACGCTGCCAGTGCCAACTTAGCAACCCTAGTAGATGAAGAGTACTCTTATACCCAATGTCTTTGTCTGTGCATGCCAATAGACCAGTCTCCATAGCTGCAATATGAGATTGGATGATTGATTGACCAGACCCCTATCCAAAGGCCCACCTCTCCCCACTCCCATCCCATCTATAGCCAAATAGAGAAGCATCGGAGGAAAAGTTTGCTGGAAAAGCAAAACCAATGGTTCCTACATCAGGGTGCTAAAGAAAGGATCAGAATTTGGTGGAGGCAGAGTAGAGAATACATTGCCTAGGAGAAAATAAAAAATCTGAGCAATCATATGGCTCTATTTTTTATAGTTCCACCATTCTGCCATTTATCTGCTGAATTTTCAAAAAAGGAGATTATCAGGATTCCTTTTCCCAGCATCCACATTACCCACAATCCACAATTGCCATGTGTAAAATTAGAGTAGAAATAAAGTAGAGAGGAAATAGCCTTAAGATGAGCCCAGCTTCTTCCTCTCTCATAACTGATCTGAGTCATTATCTGTTTCTTGATGGACATTTATTACTTGGTTGAGTGTAGGGGTAGCCATGCAATATCTAAACCTACTTCCTATATTTAGGAAATTTCTTATCTTATAAGCAGCCGTGTCCTGGTAAAAGTTTAACAACCTACTATGAAGAGAGGGGAGACCTAATTTGCAATGTTTGCTCATTTCTGTTCTGTAGATACTCCCACTGTGGCTGATTTCCAGCTATCAGCGTGATGTCACTGAATGCATTCTTGGGAAGAGAGGCATAGCAGTACATTATTAGAGAATAACTCCGCCATACAGATAAAACAGGCATAAATAACTTCAAGATCACAGATAATAGCAAAACTAATACAATAATAGAAAGTGATTAATTTAGAGTATTGAACTCTATTGTTTTTAACATAATGTATTTGAGTTTATATAATTTGTTTTAAATTAAGCTTTTTATTCTGATATCAATATCACAACAAGGATGTTGACCTTGACCCAGCCAAGATACAGAACACTGCCATCAAAACTTGAGGGCCCACCCAAGCCATTTTCAGTGGCCTTTCCATACAAGTGGCTTGTGTTGGCTCATGCTTAGAACTTTCCTAAAATCTCTCAAAGGTTCACAAACCACAAACAAGCACCACCTGGCCTCAATGTGCCTGCACCTTTTGCTAAGTGACCCCAGGCCCAGTGCTAGTAGCAGCCTGATTCAGTTCACACTTGGCCTCTCCTGCATACCTCCAGGCCCAACACAAGTAGCATCCATCTCTATATCACTTTGTAGCTCATGCTGGGCGGCCCCTGGAAGGGCAGAGGTGGTGGCTGACCTTAGCCTGAACCTCCTAGGAGGCCCCAGAGCCAGCACACCTAGTGGCCAGTTCAGACCATGCTAAAGCACCACGCAACCACCTCCACAAGTGACACACTCAAGGGATGGACTCATCAGGCACCAGAGGCTTACTAAAGCAAGTTCAGCTCCCTGCACAGCAACATCTCCTCTGTAATCACAGCCAGTCCTTATAGCCAATTGGCCTTGGGTCAATTCCTCCCACTGATGTGCCATTAGCAACAAAGGCCCAACTACAACTGGAGAGTGCACACAGCCCACATGGGAATAGTGTACCTGAGGCACCCAGCTTGAGTGACCATGGAGACT